GGTTGAGGATATCCCAGTGCCAAATTTCAGTGCATCAGTCATTTSTTTTTCTTGAAAGATTATTGGACACAAAAACTTTTTTCCTTCAAGTTTCTAATTATTGTTTTCATAATCATGGATACTCTCCAGGTATATTTCCACTCTTCAGCCCCAAGGAGAGCAAGAGAACAAACAACTGCAATGAAGTGATGGTTCACACCACTATACCCAGTTAAACTTGGCATGACTTTTTTTTAATGTTCAGCACTGAGTGAGACCTTTTTTGAAATATAGTTTGCCTTCAATGGAACTTGGCAGTTCATAACCCTTAATTCACCAGCTGTCTTCTAATTTTTGCCTGCAGCTCTCTCTAGTCTTGTGTAACATTCACAAACTCTTTTTGCAGAAGGTTGTAAGTGGATCAATTAACATCTAGCTAAGTAAATCCAATTGTTAAAAGCTATTATTATTGTAATCAAACAGACAGCTTTTCCCCTTTGGGTCATTTGGTACAAGGGCAAGTTTAGCACCATACTAATAACTAATGGCTTATCAAGCAGAAGCAATGTAACCTGCTGCTAATTATGGAGAAAAGGAAAGCTCACAAAGTACTTCCACAGCTCATGGATGTAAAAGACAGAAACTTCAGAAATATTTAACTTTGAATATATTCGCTTCAAATCATCTCAATTGCTTGTCATTATAATTGTAACCTCTTATCTCTACTGCAGCAACCCTTTCCCTTGGAAAAGGAAATTATGTTCATTCATCGCTTCCACTCTGATGCCTTCCAATTAATGTGTGTAAAATTAACCATGCTGTTTCCATGAATCTTTAACAACCTGTTATCGTAAAATGTAATTCCAACTTTTGCCATAAAATAGGTGCTTACTGAATGTATAACATTCAACAATTACATGACAAACATCTGCCTCCCTGACAACTTTCATAACTACTTAGTAATCAAGACATTCACAGTGAATTCATATCTAGATTTGCTTGCTACTCAGGAATCAAAATTTAGATTTGTTTTCTTGAACTTCAACAGAATTACAGTTATGGTTTGCCAGTACCAAGTCTGTATTTCTGCAGAACTGTATTACTTCCAGATAATGGACATTTTAGATTTTGTAAGGGAAGACCAGTGCCTACAGAAGCACTGTGAATGAAACAGCAAAAAGAGGCATTTCACCATTTCTAAAAGATCGATCCAGTCTTGATATTATGCTCAATCCAGAAAAGTCTAGGGGAGAAAAGCTGAAGAGTACATGCTGATGTGTTCCACAAGCCTGATTATTTTACCTCAGTTCCCACCATTTGGGCTTTTCTAGGTGGATATGAACTTCTGAAGATGATTTTGGGGTGACTCATAGTCACATTGTACAGTTTTGTGCCTATTCAGTGAGGGGAGGACAGAGAACGAACACATACCTGCTGTTTTTACATACAGAGAAGGAACACATACCTGCTGTTTTTGTGCATATGAAATTGCAGCTTTAGAGAAGAAGTAGAGATGACCCTATTTTAGCAAATACGGTGCAAAAGAGAAAAATTCAGAGCCTGAAAGTTCAGCATGGCTAAACTTACTGTGAAAAAAGAACCAGCAATGTGTAATACAGCTATGGGAAGCCTGCCAGTTATGCTAAAGGTGCAGTGAAATAAACAAACAAAAGGTTAATTCAGGTTGTGTGCTTAGAACACACAGTGATTAAGAAATAAGGCTTTCACTGAGCACAACATGAAAGAAATTTYGGTAGGATTCAAAAATCATCACCTCTCTGCAAATGCAAAAGATCAGAGACAGAATTATCATAGAGTCATAGAATGGTTTGGATTGAAAGGGACCTTAAAGTCCATCTCATTCCAACCTCCCTGCCATGGGCAGGGACACCTTCCACTATTGCTCAGCTTCCCAGCCAATTTCTTTATCCCTTCTAGTGTATAAACTTGACTGTTTTCCTTCCTAAAGGGTTCTGTTTAAAACATCAGATTATCACAGTGTTYTCATTTCAGTCCTCACAATGGAAATACATGAACTAAGAGCAACTCTTACAATCCAAGCCATATAAACCAGATTTGAAATAAGAGTTAGGGCTGTGGTTACATTTATGCAACACTCTAACCGTGAAGGATGGGAATGACTTGCTTGTTATGATCTACATAACAGTTTTATTGTCAAACAAATATGGATTGAATGGCAAATCCCTCATGACAAGAAGGTGCATCAGATTCCCARAGAGCCTCCCACGGGACTGAGCAGCAGAGCGTAGCAGTCTCCTGGCATGGCATGACTGATGTGTTCCCCTGGATCCATCCACTTCCATCAATGTCTATCATTTGGTTGGCTCTGCTGTATGAAASTTGACAGTAAAAAGCAAGAGTTCACCATTACAACATCAATAAAACTTCCTAGCATGTATCACATTGTGTTATATTCTTTTTTGGACAGCCTCATCTGTAATCACATAACAGATTCACAGCTATTTGTCCTTTCATCCTCTATCAGTAGCACATTTGTCTTGGATTACCTGTGTGGTACAGCAATTTCTATTTTAAGGGATTTTTTTTTAATCTCAAAGCAAATGTTTRTTTAAATAATTTGTTCCTGTCTAGCAAAACTGCTCACAAATTAGAGTCCCTTCAGCACCATGTATTTTATTACCAGGGCAAGCACTTTCTCTATATTAATAGCTAATARTAAGTATCCACACTGAACACCAGCAAAATGGCATTTCAGTTCTTCACTAAACCCTTCAATAGGACTGCCTGACAATTACATTTCTGCACCATGGAGGCAAAATAAAATCCTCTCTTTCAATGGCAACATTCTTATTAAAGGAAGGGAKGAAAGAAGGATAGGAAACAGTCTGTGCTTATTGACTCCACACTTATTTACATAACAAGAGACTATTTGTCTTGTGGTACACCACTATTCTAGTGCTGAGCAAATTAAAAGGTCAATATTGTGACAAGAGCATTCYGAATTGAAAATATTTTATTTAAATATTCAGCTATTTGTAAGTTCAAGATTGGAGCAGAAGCATGAGTGGTTATTTATGGGTCCATAAGCATTATAGAGCAGCTAACATTTTAAACTTGTTTATGCATCTGCAGAAAAACACATAACTGATGGGCAGTCCTTAAAAATAAATTTAGAGTCACTTTCAGAGCTTYCCTRTAAGTGTTTGACTGGYCTTTCTTTCAMSACYCCTTCCAGCTACACAAGGCAACAGYACCMAAGTGCAGAATTGAAACTCAAGAAATGGTGAAGACCTAATGCAAAATTGCACACTGAAATTTGAAGTTACACTTAAACTGAAAAGTTCCTCTCCATCCTGATGTTCTCACCAAACTTCTCTCTAGTGTGAGTCAGCGGATTTACTACAAACAGGAA